AGTCGAATGAAATGACGCCCGATGAGGCATTGGAATTTCTCAAAGGTGAATATCAGATTGATTGACGAGAAATAGCTAATTCTCTTCGAGAGAAGACAACTCACAGCATTTGACGAGCTACTGTGTTTATTCTTTAATTATCAGTTTAAGACTAAATGAAGTTTTTCAAAGCTATGCATCAGTTATAAGTTAGAGCGTCATTCTGGTACACCCACTGGTGTTTCTCTTATGAGAACTTGCGAGAAACCTTTTTCGGATAAGTTTTGAAGCAAATTTTCGACGCTATAATTGGTAAAAAGTTGATTGAACCTATTGACCTAATTTGAGTAGTATAGAGATTAATATTGCTTCAATATCATGGATAGACATCATCGCTAAATTAAAAATCGACGTGGCTTGCTTCGATTGACTATCAGAGGTATTAATAATAGTAGAATTACATGAATGATTTCTTCGTTTGCTAGGCTAATGGCAGTGTGGTGAGATTACCATAATTTCCAGATAACATGAATGTTAGCTTATCTGCCTAAGCTACTCATATTTTCTCTCACCAGCTATCGCTCCAGTTGGAAGCTCGACACTAATAAGAAATGCACTTAAGGGTAGAGTAACGCAAAAAGTACTTGTTTTATGCCCTCTTGTGAAATTCATGAGGGGAATGTTGTCGTTCCAGCACCGGAAGCAATTATGGAACCAGGCGTTGCTGATGCTTTGCGTATCTATCTGGAAGAGGGTAGTGGATGCACTGAAACCGCCATTGAAGCGATGGTTTCGGGATATCAAGCATATGCTCAGGTTCAGACGGGTATTTCTCAATCATGTGAATTTTGATGAAAAAAGGTTCGTGATCCAGTCAGTAAATATGATGTCTGATTGGCTAACCACATTGGGTGATGTGCCGCCGGAAGAACCTGTACCAGTTGTCCAACCAAAGAAAACAAAACGAGGTCGACGAGGAGCGAAACAAGCAGCAGCTAAGAAAGCCGAAGAAGAGGAGGCGAAGCGTAAGGAGGAAGAGAAGGCGAAAGAGCTGGACACACCGAAAAGTCCGACCAAAAAACATGAGACAGAGAGGAAATTGGAGCCGTTTTATGGAAGAATGGGTAAGTTTTATTAAGCTTGAAACATTCCTAAATTGGCGCGAGTG